CACAAGGAAAAGCTAATAAAAAACTAACTAAATAGATATCTGAATGGATAAACTACAGTACTCCAACTAATCATATTCTACATTATCAAATCTAGGTGAGTTTTAACCACTCTAGTAGGTTTAGGTTGCAAATAAATTAAATAAATTAGATAATAATTTCATCTATAGTCTGAGTCTTATTCTTGTAAAAAATTTGTAAATTGGCTTCGGCCTGTGTTAATTCATGTAGTTGCCCATAACAAATTATTAATAAAGATAAAGGCAAAACCTTACCTTAATACCAAAAAAAAAATATATATATATATAATATTTAAATCATTAATAAAAAAGTTTCTATATAAATATTTTGTATCAAGTAATACGGAATTCGCAGTCAATTCCATATAATTCTATACAAAATTTTATACTGAAAAATTTAAGTATTAATTCATGATAATTTCAATATATTTTTTTCATAGGGTTTGTAGAAAGTATTTTTTAACAGTTTCGATGTTTACTGCTCACAAAAAAAGCCAATATTCAAAGGAAGTTAGTCTGACTAAATGTAAACCTAGAAGGCCAAAAAAAACTGAAACAACAGCAAAGAAAGTCTGTTTAACTAAACATGGACCTGGAAGACCAAAAAAAACTAATATAATGGCAAAAAAACAAAAAACTGAATAAAATTTTTCATTTATTAATTTTTTTATTTAATAAATTTTTGTTGTAATAATCTGAAATAAAGATTAATTTTAATAAAGAAAGAATAAAAAAATCATAACAAAACTTTAACAAAGTGTTTAGTGCCTTATCTTATATTCTACCTAAAAATTCTTATCAACAAAGGTTTTAAATCTCAACTAAATAGTATACATCCCTTAAAAAAACCTTTTTTATTTTATTTAGTCAATTTAGTCCTGTGGTCTAGTAAAAATTTATATATTTTCTGCTGTTATAAATAGTAAAATACATGCAACCCAAAGACTTTATGATCTATATCAAAATTTGAATTTTATTTATAAAATTTGAAATTCATATAAATAAATCAGATTCCTAAATCTATATATATGAAGACTCCTATAACATAAAGGGGCAGTAAACAAAGCCTATTACTTTAATTCTTCAAAAAGTTGCATTTTAAAAAAAATTTTTTTTTTTTGCCTACTGCTTCTTTTTGCTATGAAAGTTCTATATATGTTATAATTTAAATTTTGATATTCCTTTAATTGCCAAAGTTTACAACTTAATCTTTATATTTGTTAATATTATTTAACCCTTTGTCTACCATATTGATAAATCTGAAATTTTGTTACTCGAATCTAGTTTTAATAAAAGTTCTAAGTGTAAGTACCAAGTGTGTGAACCTCTTAGTGAATACTGCAGTATTAGGGAACTAAAAACTCTATTTATTAAATAGAGTTACATTGATTCATAAAAGTATTAATTTTGCTATATATAACAACTAGTTTGGAGCTTTACCAATTAAATTGGTACACATATCTAAGCCTTCTACTAAAAAGCAAAATCTACAAAAATAAAGAGAATTTTTATTGTACTGTTGTATTAAATCTGAAATTGATATATATGAATTAGATATTAGTACAAAAGACATAGTTATATGAAATGAATTATGTAGCAGTAGAGATGGGTGGATTGGTTTGGATCAGTTTAATATATTTTATAATATATGCAGAAGCTGCATAAATTAAACTATTCCAAACTTCCTATTTCTACATAGCAGTTATGTGAAACAGTTAGAATTTATTATAGTATTAGTATGATTTTATAACTGCTAATTATGCATATGTGGACTATAATACAATCTTGCAAGAAAAATAACTATTAACCATTAGTTACTATGCTACACAGGCCATTATGACAATCTTGTGAAAACAATAACTATTAGAACTGTTAGTTACTGTACCAAATAGGACTATTATAACATAATCTTGTAAGGAAAATAATCATTAAAACTGTTAGTTACTGTGCCAAATAAGACTGTTATGATATAATCTTGTAATGATTAATTACTGTACTATATAGAACCATTAACCAACTATTTGGTAATTATGTAAGGGGTTTCTAGAGGGTTTTCAAAACTCTGAGTCTAAGGAGAGGATATATTTACTTAATAAGTAGAAGCTCCCTAATACCAATTTCAGTTGATGATTTTGGCTTTGTAAGATTAATATGCCAGAAGCAATTAATTTTTCTTAAAGGCTGTTGATGCTGCAGCATTAAATTAATAACTTTATTATAAACTGCCTTTTCAGAAAAACTATATTCAAATGTCTATTATTAAACATTTCCTTCTGCATCTACTTTAACTCACTTATGACTTAAAGAAAATCTATTGTAATTAGCATACTTGTTGAGGTGTAATTCTGCAATGTTCTAAGAAAAAAATGTATCACCAACATTAATCTGATTATTAGATCCATCAATGTTAATTTGATTATCAGACTCTAAGACAATACTTTTATTTAAAATATCATTATAATTATCAGACTCTAAGATAATACTTTTATTTGAAACATTATTACAGCTGCTCTGAATTAGCTAAACTTCTGATACTAATTCACTTTCTGTATTTGTATAATATTGTTTATTAGAAATCTACTAACTGTACAAAAAACAAAATCTATAACCTTGACTTACCCTTTATATTTATATTTATAACTAACAAAATGCCAAAAAGATTTCAAAAACTCAAATATGTTGTGTATTATTATACAAAGACAGATTCAATAATGTTTTTATAAAGAGTCTTTGCAAATATGCTTCCTTTAGATAACCTTTCACCTTATAAGGGTCTTTACAATTAATTTTTTATTTCAATGCCAATTGGTTATGATAAAATTAATATAATATTTTGGCAGTGGGGTTTTGCTAGTAAGCTGTTATTATATATATAAAGTTAATAAATATGATCTAAATTCATAAATTCACTAATCTTAACAATAAGCATAATATAAAATTACCTTATACAGCACAATTTTTAACTCTTATAGAGATTTTGCTAATGCATTTTCTACTTCACTGTCAAGATGATAATTGTAAAGTTCAGAATGGTAGTTTTACAAAGAGCTACTTTCCTTCTGTACCAAGCTATTATTATATATATAGTATGAAAGGTTTAACAATTTCAGCATTTATAAGCATGAGTGTATAATATAAACTTACTTTATATATTTTAATATTAATAAGTATGAAATTTTCAGATTTGCTATACTAACACTTATTACTGAATTCTAGTTAGATTATTACCTTTTGTTTATTCAAATAATGCATACATTTAACATAACTTAATGCATAGAAGGAACTATCAATGTTATACAACTTATTCTTCATTCAGTGTGCAATATATAAATATTTTAAAATAACAGAACATGTACTAATAGTATTGTAAAATAATTTATTTATATGTTGCATAGCATATGAAGGATCAGTTATGTAATATCGATGGTTCCTCCTGTTAACTCAATATAACTTAATGTAACTCAACATAACTTGACATAACTCAACATGACTTAATATAACTCACTTATATTATATGATAATCATCACAACTGGTTATTAGAACTAAAACTCTATTCAAATTATTGTAAAATAATTTTAAATATTTCAAATTATTTTAAATTATTTTAAATTGTTTTGCAAAAGTTTGAATAATTTCAAATATTTTTTTTTTTTTTTTTTTTTTTGGTATTAAGGTGACCTCTTTGGTCTTTTGACTTTTATTAATCACTTGTCGGTA